CAGTAAAGAGGCACGGCCCTCTGGCAGTGGGGAGCCAGGAGAACAGGAGTCCCAGGAAGGAGAACAATCCTGTGTCATTCTGCTGAGTTATTTCTCTTGAGCAAACGGGGTTGAGACCAGGACTGAATTTGCCTCTTTCTTTCAAAACAGTTTTATTCCTTGTTTAGTGTGTGCCACAGACCTCTTCCCCTCTCCTAAATACCCCGCAGACACTTCCCATGTGAACGTGACGTGCATCTCTTTGACTTGCAGTTTGGGACCATGTCCCGTGTCCTTGTGGCAAAGAGACGACTCCCCCTTTTTGTCCCTCCTGTTTTACAGCCAGGGCTGCTCGTGGGGGTGCCGGGCATGGTCCAAGGGCTGCAGCAGGCACACCAGTTACACGGCAGGTGAGGTGCAGGTGGGCTGGCCTCGAGCTGTGCACCCCGGGCCCCAGGGTCCCCCCAGGGCAGCTGGAGCACACAGCCCTTGCTCTCAGCCACCAGCCAAAACCATTAGCCAAGGGGCAGTTGGAGGCTTGTGTTGAAAAGTGTGTTCTATTTTGGTACTGCATACAACAAAAGAGAGAATTCAGCTTGCTCAGGTTTTCTGCAAAGTGATATTTTGGCTACTGAGATGGACAGTAACTGTTCTCTTAGAAATGGGTGCAGAACGTTTTCACTCAGGTCCATGTATTTTCCTTCCCTCCTTAGCTGGACCCTGAGAAGTGTGGTTCCACCTGGTGCCCTGTTGGGACGGGGAGGGAGGGACCCAAATGACCTGCTCAGGGCTGGAGCCTGGCTTGAGATTTCGCTCCAGAGATGCCCTTTCCTCTGGCTCTGCCCTGACATTTCTCTCTGTTGCACATTGTGGAACACTGAGATGATCCTCCTGAAAAAAACACAACCCAATGAAAGTTCAGTGCTCCCTTTGGCCACCACTGGCCACGCAGCCTGGTCTTTCAGGAGCCCCCTGACCACAGAGCTGAGCCCTGTGCCCTCCCCACCACCCTGCCCTGCCACACCTCTCTGAGGCACGTTTCTCTTTGTCTTTCCCTTGGGCAGACTCCCGTGGTCTGAGCTGCTGGGCCTCGCCGCCAGCGTCGCCCAGGATGGGTTTAATGTCACACACGATTTGGGTGAGTGCCTGGTGGGGGGACAAGGCTGGCTGCTCAGCTGTGAGGAGCACGTCAGGCACCGGGCTCGGGGGCCAGGCGGCGAGTGGGTGGTTGTTCCTGGGAAAGGAAGGCTCTTTGGACCTGCAGGTGGGTGCTGTTGGGAGCTGAGCAACGCCTGAGCCATGGCATGCAAGGGGAGGGCTTGGTGGCACCAAACTGGAGCCCTCTCCTGGGGCTGGTCAGGGACAGGGCAGAGCAGCCCACGTGCCACAGCCACCCAGGAGCAGCCAGGGAGGGGCAGGGGGTTTCTTTGGCCTTCCTGCCCAGCTCTAAGGGGTGCATGAGCCACCCTCCCTCTAGTTTTGGAACGGGGCAAGAGGCAGCAGCGAGTCCCCAGCACCCCATCAGAGGCCAGGTCCCCGGCGTGTTTCTGCTCTGGGGCTTTTCAGGACGTCCTTCCCCTTCTTGCCCTCAGCCCAAGCCGTGAGTGAGCTGAAGGACCTGAACTACTCTGACAAGTTTCGGGAGACCTTCCTGCCAGGGGACCAGCCCTTGCTGCCCGGGGTGTTCGTCAGGCGCCCGGACCTGGCGGCCGTCCTGGAGCTGCTGGGGGCCGAGGGGGCCTCAGCCTTCTACTCTGGAAACCTGACCCAGGAGATCATCTCTGAGGTGAGCCACGCCTGGCTGAATTAGGACAGTCTTACAGAAAGACCAAGGCTACAGCAGACCCACTATCACCTGAAAGAATTAAAAATAGGGTGGGAATTGTATGCTAAAGGTTTCTAGTGACCTGCTACACCCAGGTTCCTTCTCTGCTGAATCCATACAGATCTTTTATCCTGGCAGTGTTCAAATGCTTCATCACCTTTAACACACTCGTGCTTGCCAGCCAGGGGAGAAGGGCTGAGCAGCAGTGCCTGTCCCCACCTCAGGGGCAGGCAGAACATCTGCAGAGCACCCAGGAGGTGGGTGAGCTGCTGGAGGTGGGCTGCAGAGCCTTTCACTGGTGGTGAACAGGCAGCCAGGCCACCAAGGCCACAAGAGCAGAGATTTTCAGGGTATCCTGAGTGACCCAGCCCTTGGCTCGGGGATCTCGATGGTGTTTGCCTGACAGGGTGGTGTGTGCTCACCTGGGGCAGCCCAAGGAACACGGGAAGCCTTGGCCCAGCCTTCTGAGGTGTGCTGCTCTGCTCTCCTACACAGGTCCGTAACCATGGGGGGGTCTTGGTGGAGGAAGATTTCCACAACTACAGTGTCACCGTGGAGGATCCCATCCAGACCATCTATCGAGGTACACACCTGACCCATGCCTGTGCAGCTCCAGCTGAAGCTCTGCTTCTCCTGCCAAGAGGTGGCAACACTATTGAACTGGAGTGGGGGCTGCACTGAGGTGTCTGCAGAAAAGTCCTCTGGGGGTGTCCTGCTGCTGTCAGCCAACAGATTGCCCCTCAAATCTGGAATGGTTTCCCCGTTCTCAAGGCTGCTAGCTCATGGGAAAGCATGTGACCAAAGCAGCTTCATTCCTCTCTTCTTCCCTTCACAGGTCACCTTGTTTTCAGTCCCCCCCCTCCACATGCAGGTCCTGCACTGATCACAGCACTGAACATCCTCGAGGGCTTTAACATCACAAGTCAAGTACCCAGGGGGAACTTCCTGCACTGGATGGCAGAGGTAAGAGGAAGTTCAGCAGTTGGCTGAGTTGCTTGTGCTGCTGGAGAAGAAGCTATTTATTCCTTGGCTGTACAGAACGTTTGTAGGCAGTTCCTGGAGGAGAGGGTGCAGATGGACAGCTAAGGTTTAGCCTGGGCTGTGTCGCTGCCTCGGGTGGGTGCAGGTGCTGGAGCCTCCTGCTCAGCTCAGCTGCTTCTTGCTCAGGCAGAACTTTTTCAGAAAAGCAAAGTGCAGCTTTTGCCCCTTTCTTGTGTGTGACCATCTCCTCAGTGGCCCCTCAGCAGCTGCGGGTGGTCCCCTTGGTTCCCTCCCCCCTGTGCCCCCCTGGCCCTGGCAGAGCCCTGCTTGGGCAGACTTGGCGCCGTGGTGCCAGCAACACCCTGCACGAGGTGCTGGGGAGGGAACTGGCCCCACACTCCGTGCTGCTAACAGATCATAACATCCCAGCCCCCCTCATGAGCTCAGAGGTCCAGATCCTGACTTTTCCAGTATTTAGGGCTGTCACCCCTACCAAAACATTGCAGCTTCCCAGGAGCTCAAGCAAGTGCTCCCTTTCCTGCTCTGAAGGCAGAGTTGTGCTCTTAGATGCTCAACATCCCAAAACACACAGCTGGGCTTTATGTGGTGGGATTTTGAGCGAGGATGTTGCCACATCCTTGTAGCAGACAGGACAGTGAGTGCTTGGGAGTTGCTGTCCCTCAGCAGAAGCCCAGCAGCTGGAGGTGTTGCACACTGCTAGGCCTGTGCAGAGGTGGAGGAGGTGGACTCACCTCAGGTATTTTTGAGTTCTCTTCAAGAAGCTTTGGATCAATCTATTTGCTCTGCATTTGTGCTAGGCCAGGAGGTTCACCCATTGGTTGTCCTGCCCCAGCTGAGGGATAGTAACCTCCAGGTAAAGGGCAGTCACTTCAGAAGATGTGTAACCCCAGTTATTTGGCATTGCATGACTGAAGACGTGGCTGAGATGCTGTGCTAGGTCAGCACCAGCTGGCCCAGCACTTTCTGGTGCTGTGACTCCTGTGCACGTTTCTCCTGTGGCTGTCCTCTGGCTATGCCCTGTAAAACCAGGGCTGGATAAACTGCCTCTTGAAACTGCATCTTCCCATTGTTAATGGGCTGGCTTAGGCAGGGTTCTGCATGCATGAGAGACCAGATCCCTTCCTCCCTTAGCCCAGCATTCCCCTAGCTGTGCTGTTTGAAACTGCACCTTCCCATTGTTAATGGACTGGCTTAGGCAGGGTTCTGCATGCACGAGAGACCAGATCCCTTCCTCCTTTAGCCCAGCATTCCCCTAGCTGTGCTGGGACTGACACTCTTTGTTCCAGTGCTTTGGGTGACTTTGGGCTGGGGAGGTGGGTAGGAGCTGCTGAGCAGTGGCTCATTTCTGCCTGGCAGTGGTGCTGTGCTGCTGGAGCTGCCACAGAGGCAGGGCAAGCCCAGGACACACTCTCCCACTGGGATTCGCTGCTCCCTGCCCTTGTGGTGACCACACAGGAATGGAAATGGGAAGTAAGTGGCATCCTGGTGACCCTGTGTGCCAGCTGGCAGTGCAGCTGAGCAGCTGGGCAGCTCCTGCCAGGCTCTCTGCAGCTGGTGCAAAGGGGCTGGGCACACTCAGCTGCCCAGCACACAGCTTGCCTTGCCAGCCAGGGGCACGTGGGCAGCCCCTCACTGCAGGGACCAGGCTCGTGGGCATTTCCCTTCGTAGGCTTTAGCCAAAGTGCCAGCAGACAGATACCTGTTCCTGTTCAGAGTATCAGAAGTTTTATTTCCAGGGCCACCAAAATGTTTGTTTTCCCTTCTTTGTTTTCCTTGCTTCCTTGGCTTTTTTTTTCTCTTCAATTTAGACATTAAAAATAGCCCTGAGCCTAGCTGGCAACCTGGGAGACCCCTCTGAGGATGTGTCTGTCACTCACACCGTGGAGGACATGCTGAGGTAGGGCTGAGGCTGACAGGCACGGTGACAGTTGCAAGCTTATGGTTTGGCTGTCATTCCTAGATTTTCTCTGCATTCTCAGTGCAGTGCACAGGGAAACCTGAGGGTTTCCTACCTCTGTTTTACTGAGGAAAGGTCAGTCCTGGGGTGTCCTCCGAGGGCTCACTCTTCCACAAGGATCAGAGCTGATACCGCAGAGCTCTGGGGATAGGTTGTGGGATGTCCTTGCACAGAGGTTTGCTGGAGACAGATTGATCTTGTGGGTTCCTCCCACTGTCTCACCCCTCTAAATATTCCTCCTCAGCAGGTCAGATGAATGACCATCCATGTGGTCATGACCACACGTGCAGTTTCTGGCTCTGCCTTCCCCACCATGGAGCTTGGAGCCTTTGCAGTACACCCAGACATGTGGGAGAGGCCAGGCCTGGGGCTTCAGCCCAGCCTCCCACCTCAGAGCCAGGTCCAGCCACAGCTGGTGGCCAGAGCTGGACCTGACTTGCTTTCCTCCTGGAGGGCTGGCACTCAGCTGGGTGGTGCCAGCCCTTGCCCACCGGGGGTGGGTGCCACTGCAGAGGAAGCCTGGGAGGCCCATGGCATTGCCATGTGCAGACTGAGCCAGCTTGTCCCCTTCCACTGGGTGAACCAGAGGGGCTCCCTGTCCTCTGTGCCAGCCCTCTCAGGGGCACGCTGCCAGTGGCTGTGTGGATGTGCCCCCACAGAGGGACCAAGAGACGTTCAGCTCCCAAGGCTCATGGCTTTTTCCTCTCCTTCCTTCACTGCTGAAGTAAATCAGAAGCCAACTCCCTGCGCCAGCTGATTAACGACTCCCAGTCCTTCTCATCTGATCTCCACACCCCACACCTCTCCGTGGGCAGTGGTCCTGCTGCCAGCCAGGTCCTTGTCATGGGGCCCGACGACTTCATCGTCGCTGTCATCAGGTAAAGGACTCACCTCTGCCCTCTGTGACACACTCACAGGGTGGAAGCTGGGAGCAGAGAGCAGGGTCAGTGGGACAGGGTGGAACCAGACCTGGGGCAGCTGGGCTGCTCTGCCCCAGCTAGTCCTGCAGCAGGGTGGAGGTGTGTGAGCAGATGCTGCTGTGCCTTGGGCAGTCCTGCAGCCTCCTCACAGTGCAGTGTGTCTGGACTGGCCTGAATCTGCTCCCTGGACAAGGCGTGGGGGCCAGATTTGAGATGGGGGCATGGAGACACATCCATCACCTCGAGGGGAATCCTTAAGCACAGGGAGGGACAGAGCTGCTCTCACCCACATGGTTCCTGCTCCTAAGTACATGGAGACTTTCACTCCTCACATCTAGCCAGCCCTAAAGAACCACCAAAGACTCTTTTCAAGCCAACCTGGGGCAGAAATTCTGAACCCTGAAAGCCTCGAGGTGTACAAAAATCTCTGGAAGGATTTTGATGAGATCCCTTTTTGTTTCTTTTCAGTTCTTTGAATCGTCCCTTTGGCAGTGGAATAATAACACCCTCTGGAGTCCTCCTGAACAGCCAGATGTTGGACTTCTTCTGGCAAAATAAAACAATGAACCACTCCGTTCCCAGGCCGGTAATGAATGACATCACAAATCCTTGCTTTGAGCTGTCTATACCAGTGTTTTTTTCAATTTTATTCTTGTCTTCATTATCACTGGGGCTTTGAGCAACCTGCTCTAGTGGGAGGTGTCCCTGCCCATGGCAGGGGGCTTGGAACTAGATGATCTTTCATGTCCTTCCCAACCCAACCCATTCTCTGATGCTAGTGCAGTTTTTTGAAGTGATGCTGCCCATTTCAGTTACTGCTTTCCCTGCACTCCAGATGCACTGTAAAGCAAACGTCCTGTCCTGTGCACTTGAGTTAAAGACTTTATGAATTGCTGCTCTGCAGGTCTAACATTAACAGATAGCAGAAAAGAAGTCTTCAGGTCTTGGAAAGAAACAATTAGAGATGAGTACTGGTGGCTTCCAGTGCTGCCTTGTTGTTTCTTCTTGGCATGTATTGTAAAGCCATCCCACTTGGCTGGGTTGGTACTTTAGAAGTGGGTGAACAGCTCCATGTGCCCTGTGTAGAAGAGAGCTGTGGTGTGAGACAGGATGGAGCCTGTTGGCATCAGAGAGCATGACCCCAGCAGTGAGGGTGTCAGCCCTGAACCACACGAGTGCAGTTGCTGGCTGAAGCACAGAGAGTAAGAGGGTCACCTGCTCCACCCGAGCACCAGCAAAGCTTGTTGAAGTTTTTTGGTGTCTCTTTTCTTCAACTGCAGCAGAATCTCATTCAGCCTCGGAAGCGGCCCCTGTCCTTCCTGCTGCCCACCATTGTGAGACCCTCTGAGGGGCTGTGTGGGACCTACCTGTGCCTGGGAGCCAACAATGGGGACAGAGCCCTTAGCAGCATCGTGCAGGTCAGTGCTGTGCCCGGGCACCTGCCCTCAGTGGGGTCCCCTCCTGCACTACAGGCTTCTCCTCCCCAGTGTCCCAGGCTGTGTTGAAACTGGTGGCCCCAGGATTAATAGTTCAGTCTTTAATGTCACCAGTTCCAGGCTGGTATTTGTTTTTTCAAATACCTAAGAGCCACAGGTTTACTTCTCTTGCACCTTTGCTAGTGCCACCACTCATAATTGTAGAGAAAAGGATCCTGGCAAAATCCATAATGGTTTTGTGTCATTCTCATACCTGTTCAAAGCTCATCTTAAGGATCATTAACAAAGAAAAAGGGGCATTTTATATCCAGATAACTGCAGGAGACTGGCAGCTCTTCAGCCCTGTAGCTCCTTTCCCTATGAAAAGCTCCTTTTGGTGCACTCCCCACTGAATTCCTCCCTGCTCAGCACTCGCTATAAATTGGGCAGCTCCTCCTAATTTCTGGTTTGTAATGAGGTAAAGCACTTGCCAATAGCCTGATTGCATGTGACTGTTAAAAAGAAAGGCCCAGCAAGAATGGCTCCTGTCTCCCTGACCTTTTGGGAGGCTTTGTTCAGAGCCAAACCAGAGCCAACCATTGCTTCCTAGTGCTTTGTCTGGAGCAGTCACGTGCTGAGCTTTTGGCTGTAACAAACACATTTAGAAATTACCTCATGCTCCAGACAAACAACTCTCCCAGTTTAGCAGGAGCTGTGGACAAATAGCCCACGCAGCCTTGAAGAGGTGCTGCCTTTCCAGCACCACCACACAGGCTGTGTTTTGGGGGTCTCCTCATGTGCAGACCCCTGTGGTGGCTCATGCAGTCTGGTCAATGGTTCAAAATCTTTGCTTGCTGCATCTGTGGATGCTTCATCCACCAGTCAGGAGGATGCTCAGGAAGCTGGCTTCTCCTGTTCTCCCTACTATTTTTTTCATTATTGAGGATCTTTTCTTCTCGTGCAGGTTTTGGTAAATGTTTTAACATTTAACAAGAATCTGAGTGAAAGTTTGTCACTTGGTCGACTTCACCCACAGCTTCAGTCCAACGTCGTGGAGATTGACAGTGAGTATGGACACTGGGTGTGGGGCAGCCTTCAAATCTACCAGTCTAGTGTGCTTAGAAAAGGAGCAGGGTTTGCTCCCTCCCTCTGTCCCAGCTCACCTCCTGGATAGCAGCCTTGTCTCTATAAAGCTTTTGGCCATCTGATGCCGTTGAGGATATCCAAATAAACAGGATTGCAACCACAGCTTCACCCAGCCAGGTCCTGAATGCCAGCAGAGCTTCCTACACTGTATTTCCACTGCCATCAATGATAATCTTTCACTTTCCACACTGTGTCCCTTGGCTCCACCAGCTGTGGGGAGGACAGGGCCTGTGGCCAGGCTCGTAGCTTGGTGGTGCTGGAAGTGCAGCATCAATGTGGGCATCTGGAGACTGCACTGCCAGCTCTTGTCCTTGTTCTTACAAGTCTTGTCTGTTCAGTGCTTTTCACAAAGCCTGACACCTTACCAGTGTGAGCATCAGTGAAATTTGGTTCTCATTTCACACAAAAGAGCCAGAGGTTCTTGCAAGGAGAACCTAAAAATGTCGAGTGTGACCTGCAGACTTGGAAACTAGAATGTAATTAAAGCCAAAACTTCAGAAATGTCCTAATTTGTGGGTTTGGACATTTGGCATCAACAAGAGCTGTGTTCAGACACATCTGCAGTGTATCAGCTTCAGCAGCTGGAGTTCCTGTGTGCCTGCTCAGTCTGTCCAGCTGCACCCCCAGCTCGGTATCCTCAGGCACTCCTGGTCACACAGGAATTACAAAACATCAAAAGAAAGCTGAACAGCAAACAAGGTTGGTGGCTGGAGGATTAAGAAGCAGGTGAAGGGGATGCTGCAAGGCTTATCACAAAGTTTGTCATTTGGCAGCTTGTTTTACTATCATTTGTTTTCAGCTGCCTCACGCCTTATTTGGAGTAATACTGTTAGTGCTGTTATTGGTAGCTGAGCTCTTCAGAGCAGGGCCTGCCTCGAGTTCTGTGACAAGAAGAACTGCCATAGGTTCCAGCAATGTGTTTTCCAAAGAGGAGGATCTTCCACAACGACCTCCTGGCTTCTGTCACTTCCCCAGTGCCCGGGGCAGTGCCCAGCTCTGAGCAGCCTGCCTCGCCCTGGCTGGGGCTCCTCCTGAAGAGGCTGCTGGCTGTTTCCTCACCCTGCAGGCCCCAGCAGGGCTAGAACAGAGCTTTGCATCCAAGCCAACGTTGGTTTCAGTTACAAACTCCTCTTTTACCTCCCTACAGGCGAGTTTCCTGAAGAAGATATTGAATTTCTTGTAGCCAGGGGCCATCAAGTGGATAAAGTCAAAGTGGTCTCCCTAGTTCACGGGGCCAGAAGAACCAACAGTTTCATCATTGGCCTGAAGGACCCCAGGAGTGTGGATGCAGCTGGCACCACAATATTGTAGCACCTCCCAGGCGAGGTGCTGACCAAGTGAGGCTCAGATGGATCAGCCCAAGTGATGGAGCACATGTTCTGAAATGGCCCCTTCTGCCCCCCGGGGTGGGAGCCCCACGTCCTCACCACTGAGCAGACTCCTGCATTCCCCACCCCGGAGGTGTCAGCAGCACCAACAGACAGCTCTTGGGTTTGTTGGTTTATTTTTCATTATTTGAACTGCAGCAGCTCAGTCCTTGTTACAGGAGTGCAGGGAGCACAACTTCTTCTGGCAGAGTCGTGCTAATAATTTCAGTCTTTCCAAAAGCCCATTCCTAGCCAGAATCTTAAACTTTAGTTAGGAGGAACATCCATGAATGAAAACCAGCTGCTGCTGCTGCTGTCATCTGCATCTCCCTGTCTTCCCCAGGTTCGTTCTTTGCCTCATGCAAGCCACTAAATACAGCCTGACAGGGTGTTTGTAGGTGCCTGTGGCTGGAATATTGGGGAGTCCTTTAGCTCTCCTGGGACCCAGCTGCTCTTTACCAGCGTGCAGCCTCCTGTGTTGGTTCCTCTTCTCACATTGCTACGTAACCTTGAATTTCAGGAGTAAATATTTTGACTCAAGTTGCTGCCCAGACTCACTGGCAGTCTGATTTTGTAACTGCAGCAATGGTTTTCAACTTCTAACGACTTGTGGACCCCCCCAATAGTTTTCTTACAGAGGTTCAGATTCCTCCATGGTGAACTTAAGCTTAGTGGGAGCAGGCTTAATTTTCTTAGGTACCTTTTGGATGTATCTTAGCAGTACTCCACAAACTTGTAAAAACCCACAGACCGTGGACTGGAAACCAGGTGAGGAGTGCTCAGGTGGGTGCAGGGCTTTCCTTACACTGCCTTCTCTCAGTCTGCTCTGACAGCCTGAAGCATGTAACCCCTACAGAGAGACTGGGAATTTCTGCTTACCGATTCATATCTGTACTTCAGCTCCATGTCTGATGCTAGTGGCTCTAGTGGAAGGGCTGGGGGTGAGGGAAAAGGTACGAAACAAATCAGATGCTACTGAGATAATTTTCTGTCTGCAGCATGTAGTGCAATAGGAATAGTTCTGCATTTCTTGCCTGAAACAGTGAAGAAATAGTACCACACCTGACAGCTGCACCATTTCATTCAACCTGCATTTGCACTCTTCTTTTTACTGGCATGTTAGACAGACACATGGCACTATAAAATTCTGGAATTTGATCAATTTCTGCAGACTAGAATTTGATGATTTCCTTCATGGTGCAGATGCATCTATGGCCACTGTACATATTATATACGTGTGTCTGCGTGTGGTTGTCTTGGTCTTTCATTTGGTGATGATACCAGTCACCCCCAACCTTCCTCCTGAGGGGCCACGTAACCCCTGTCTGCCCATAAAGCACCCCCTAACTCGTGGCCATTTGACTCTGGAGGTTGTTTTGGGATGGCCAGGGAGCCACAGCAGAATCGTTCTGCCAGCTGAGGATCTCAGAGCATCTGACGTGGAGCCCTGCACGTTGTGCTGAGGAAATTGAGATGTCTCCGTGCTCCACTGAAGTGCAGCCACCCATGAGAAGAGCACAGCAGCTCCCTAGCAGATGGGAACATCCATGGTATTTTCTGTTACAAATGTGTCTGTGGCTTCAGCTGAGAGATGGGGAAGTACAAGGTTGTCTTTGGGAAGTTGTCTTCTGTGCCACCACACTGCCTGCAGGGCCAGAAGAGACTTTCTTCACCACAGGGATGTCAAATCTATTTCTTTTTCTGTCATCCAGCATTAGAGTTGGTCACTGCCTGAAGCTGGAGCCTTTACAAAACTCTCTGTGTCCTGGAGCAGATCTCCTCAGGTTTCATGGGCAGGGCAGGATGAGGTTTGTGATTTGAGTCTCACTGGTGGAGGTTTGGGGGTTTCTGGTACGGTTCAGTAGCAATCTGTCCCTCGGGCACAGAGATTTACTGGGCACAGCCACAAAATAAGTGGTCCAACCATTGTCACTTCAGTGCTTTGCATGGAACATCACAGAACACTTGGAAACATAAAATTCCTCCTTAGTAACCGAATCCACCAACTCACTTTTGGTGCTGGAAGCTCTGCATTCATTTGGGAGTTAAAGACTCTGGTCTTGATTCAGAAGGGCACTTATCCCAAGGTACAATTTCACAACAGTTATTCAGAATCTCAGAATAAAGCATGTTCCTAAGTCCTCTGCTGGATCATGGATTATGTTGCAGAAAGGAGAAAATTTTAAATATGTCTAAGAAAAGTAAAGGTATTTTGATTATTCCCCATTTTTTCTGCTTAAGAGCAGCAGCAGTGCAGCACAGATGTATTTGGTACAGAAACCTTTACCCTGCTTACTGGCCCAGTGCCTCTGGTGTGAGTCCATCTCTTGTGAGGTCTGATGAATTTAACGTGAGGTACCAAGGAGCACTTGATGTTTCCATCTGTGTGGGTGAGGCAGACGTTGGGAAATAAAGGGCCACGTTCTGGAGGGGTGTGCAGAGTAACCAGGTTGGTTCAGCCTGGCTAGTGCAGACTGTTGATGCCCAGGGGTTTTTCCAGGGGTGCAGCTGGCGGGAGGCTCTGCTGCCAAGGGCTAGTTCTGTTTGTCACTGTTCCTCCCAGAGGCTCGAGGCCGTTGGTGAGCACGGAGGACAAGCAGTGCTCTGCCAGGCTGGGGAGATGCTGCTTGGGGGTCACAGATCCCTGCCTGCTAGAGCCAAAGGTGGGGCAGGAGCTGGCACCACCTCCTGCAGCGTGGGGGGTGAGGGTGCCCTGGCTCTGCCCTGTGGTTCCTTCCTGGATGCTGCTGGAGGCTCGGGGTGTTCAGAGCACGGGGGTGCCTGGGGTGCTGTGTGAGCCCTGCCAAGGAGCAGCCCTGGGCACACAGGAGTTTCTGCTCCAGCAGCATGCCCCACTCTGGGCCTCGGGGAACTGGGCACTGCCAGGGGCTGGTGAGGCCCAGAGCAGGTCCTGCTGCCACAGCTGGTCTCCAGAGATACCAACCCATGTGCTGCAGCTCTGCCAGCATCTCTCAGAGGGGTCTGCTGGGCTTCCCTCAGCTGGGGCAGCAAGTCCACAAGCGCCTGTTCAGCATCAGCCAGGGACCAGTTGCCAGGGGGAAGATGGACCCTCCAGGTGGCTGCTGGACCATCTCAGGGCTGCCTTCCACCCACTGCACAACTGAACAGGCTTCCACGGGCTGAGCCCAGACACTCACTTGGAGAGAAAGGGAAGCTGGGCCTCGGTGAACGCCATGAGGTGGAACCCACATCTCTCATGGACACAGCAAAAGCACAGATCTCTAGAAAAAATCTCAAGCTGGTCACGAGTCTATCTACTTCTTCTGTATAATATTGTCCCTTTGAAAATGCTGTTGTAGGAAAATGCATGTAGAGGTAACCACAGTGTTGATTGTAGTGACCTCAGATGGATTTCTCTGTTCTGTTTGTGACAGTGAAGTGGCTGCAGCCTCTGTCTGTGCTGGGGCAGCTCTCCTTCCCTCAGCTCAGCTACCGCTGTGCGGCGTTCGTCTTGCAGCAGAGCTTCAGATCCAAACCAAAACGTGGGGGTCTCACCCACAAACAGTGGGACACTGGCCCCAGCACCTCTCCTGTCTCGGGTATGGTGAACAGAGGCTGGGGAGGTCTCAGAACACCTCAGCTGGGCAGCGTGGGGCCCGGCTGCGCAGTGACCTGAGCTGGAGAGCTGCCCAGGGGGCACGTCGTGCCCGTGTGTGCGGGCGGCAGGACACCAGCGTGGCAGCACTTTGTGTCCTGAACCTGCTCCTGGAGTCCTGTCCCATGCCAGTGCCTCCCCGGTGCCTCCCCGGTGCTGCCCCTGCCCCGTGCAGGGGGCCCAGGGGCCGTGGGCCCTTTGCTGCCTGCGGGATGCAGGGCAGGAGACCAGAACCCGCTGGGCTCCTCAGGCGGCTCCTCGGCCGTGTCCTGTCACCCCAGGGTCCCTTCAGCTCTGCTTCCCTCCCCCGTGGCAGAGCTGTTCTGAGACAACGGGGGTTCATTTGGGTCGTGCAGAGCTTGTGCCAGCTGTGGTCTCTCCCAGCAGCGAGCAGAAGCCCAGGGAGAGGCCACAGAGGCTGCGTGAGGCGGTGCTGAGCGGCGGTACCCCCAGGCTGCTGACCGAGGAGGGGCCTCGCTGCAGACCCCACGTGGGTTAAGCACAGCAAAGGTCCACGTGGGACCCCTCGAGCCCAGACCGGGGAGCCAGAGCACTTAGATGGCTTGAGCAGATCCCAGTGAGGCAATATTGTGCTTTCCCCAAACTCGGGGTTTGAAAAACAGCATTCGACTTGTTTGTTGTGATCGACAAGATGTGCCCAGTACTGAGGTAAGATAATATACACAAAACCAACAAAAAAAACCCAAACAACGGAAGGACAATCTTGCAAGGCAAGCACAGCAGCATGGGTGGGAAACGGGGAGTTCTTGGAAGAGCAGGAGAAATGCAGGAGCCTTTTGGGAAAGACAGGGCTGGAGGAGGACGGTAAATGCAGCCAGGATAAGAAGCATCTGCTGAAGTGGAGGGAAGAGCGAAGGCAAGTGGGGAAGAAAGGCAGTTCCCAGGTGCCGAGGAAGTGCCGAGGAAGTGCTGAGGAAGTGCTGAGGAAGTGCTGAGGAAGTCCTCTCTGCGCTTCCTCCGTTTCCAGCAGGTCTCCAAAGCCAGGAGCAGGGTCAGGCAAAGCCCGGGAACACCCCGGCAGACAGTCGGCTGTAACAAACATCCCCCGGTGCCACCGTCTCCTCCTCCGCCACCTCGGAGGGTCTCCTGGGGCCCGGGGAGGGGCTTTTCGCC